AGATTCTTACCCATGTATATATGGTAAAACTGGTATTATGAATATTCCTATATTTCCCTAAAAAGAATAGGAGGAATAGACTTAAAAACCAATAACATAGCCGGGCACGGTGGTGCACACCTGTAATCCCAGCAGTTCTGGAGGCTGAGATGGGATGATCAAGAGTTCAAAGCCAGGGGCTGGGGATGTGGCTCAAGCGGTATCGCGCTCGCCTGGCATGCGTGCGGCCCAGGTTCAATCCTCAGCACCACATACAAACAAAGATGTTGTGTCTGCCAAAAACTAAAAAATAAAAGTTAAAAATTCTCTTTAAAAAAAAAAAGAGTAAAGGGCCTCATGTGCAGACAGAGTTAAAGTTAGGTGGGAGTAGAATCGAATTGGAATACCATTTTTTTTTTCCTCTCCAGGGAGAAGTTTAGGTGAGGTGAAGAGATCTGGGAGAAGTCATGTTTATTCATTTCTCCTTCTGCCTAATTACTTTCAATGCAATTGAATTCTAAGATTAGTAAAACAGATTTTATCAGATGAGGAACTGAAAACCAGAGGTGAACAAGATTTCCTTCCTGCCTTTGAGTAGTTCACAAGATAAGGTAAGGTGTGTTGTATATCAAAAAAACAGGTGGGGCTCAGGTGTGGTGGTGCATGCCTGTAATTCAATTGGCTCAGGAGGCTGAGGCAGGAAAATTGCAACTTTGAGGCGAGGCTCAAAAACTAATGGAGACTCTGTTTCAAAATAAAAATTAATAATGATAAAAAGGGCTGGGATGTGGCTCAGTGGGTAAGCACCCCTGGGTTCAATCCCCAGTACCAAAACCAATCAAACAAAAAAACAATACCACCAAAAACAGGTAGAATGGGAGGGTTTCAGACCTAGAGACTCTTCTCCTAAAGAAAATTGCCTTGACTCAAGCTACATTTTGGCCTCTCCCCTCTTCCTAAGTAGTTCCTGAGATGACTTGAAGCCCGTGATTCTCAACCCTGGCTGCCCTTTGGAGTCATCTGAGGATGTCTTTAAAAGACATCGACTATTACTAACTGCCACCAGGCATGGTGGTGCACTCCTGTAATCCCAGATTGGGAGGCTCAGGGAAGAGGATCATAAGTAGGAGGCCAGCTTCAGCGTGAACAACTTGCCTAGACCCTGGGTCCCATCCCCAGAGATTCTGATTTAATTGGTTTAGTGAGCTTTGGGATTTTTAAATGCTCCCTAGATGATTCTAATGTGAATCTGGCTCTAATAATTGCTCCAAGGAGTTCCTGGGGATCTGTTTAGAAATCCACTTCTTTAAGACAGGAGTGGGGTGGTGCACACTTGTAATCCCAGCAGCTCTGGAGGCTGAGGCGGGAGGATTCTGAGTTCAAAGCCAGCCTCAGCAATTTAGTGAGACACTGGGTCTAAATAAAATATTTAAAAGTCCTGAGGATGTGGCTCAGTGGTTAATTACCCCTGGGAAGGAAAGAGAGAGAGAGAGAGAGAGAGAGAGAGAGAGAGAGAGAGAGACAGAGAGAGAGAGAGAGACCGACCCACTGCTTTAATCCAGCCCAGAGGATTGAGACCTTTTTGCTGGTGGGGTGGGGTGGGATGGGGTGGTAAATTGATCTGGGCCTTGAAGGGCAGGAAAATCTTGACCCCAAGTAGAGAGGCAGATGTGAAAAGGGAAGAACATGATAAGCAAAAGTCTAGAGGTGGTCTGAAACTCATGGCAAGCTGCAGTTTGTTTTATAATAGAGATTGGAGGAGGAGGTCTAAGATTTGAGTACAGCTGGGTAAAGACCTGGGGGTGGGAATGATGAATAATTCATTTTGGTTGCAAATGAGGTTGAACAGAGAAAGTTCAATGATTTTAAGTATGGAAGTAATTGAAGGCTAGACTGAAAATTTATAAATAATTGAATAAACAATCCACAATCATGCAGGGCATATAATTATGACTATGATTATTATTTTGAACTGCTGGGCCTTGGGCACCCAAGGTAAGTACTCTACCACTGAATTACACCCTCTCCCTTCCCCCACTTTTTTGAGGTGAGATCTTGCTATGTTGCCTAGGCTGGTTTCAAACTCCCAGGTTCAAGACATCCTCCTGCCTCCTGAGTAGCTGAGACTACAGGCATATGCCACTGTGCTAGCTTTTCAAAAGACTGTTGAGCAATGCAGTTATATCTTTTTCTTTTTTTTTTAAATGCAGTTATATCTAATAGCAGAGTTGAGAGAGACTTGAAGTAGAGAGACACGTAGGAAGTAGGAAGAGATGCTGGGGAGCTGTTGCGATGATCCTAGATGAGGTAATGTTTCTGGCAAGGACTGGGGAAAAGTGGACTCAAAATATATTGTGGCTGTAGAATTTACTCAACTTGACAACACACCAAAAGTAAGGCAGGAGAATGATGAAGGCAGTAAGTTTTCAGGCAAGGAAGGGTGACTGACAAGATGATGCTATTAAAGGAGATGGGGGTTTTGGTGGCATTTCATCAACTTGGTTTGGAACATGTTGAGTTTAGATAACCAGCAGCATGGTCCATGTGACTATGTTCCTCAGACATTGGAGGAATGTCTGTTTGTACAGGACAGGTTGGAGCAGCATTTGGTTTGAGATGATGGCTAGAATTGGAATCTCTGGGGTGAGGAGCTTGGGGGAATAGCATGTGTTTAGCTTAAAGCCCTGGGTTCAATCCTCAGCACCAAAAAAAAACACACACCAACAATATTGATGGGATGAACTTTTTTAAAAATTATTTACTTTTAATTTTTGGCGGACACAACATCTTTGTATGTGGTGCTGAGGATCGAACCTGGGCCGCACACATGCCAGGCAAGTGCGCTACCGATTGAGCCACATCCCCAGCCTGGGATGAACTTTTAAGGGAAAGTCCCAGAGAAGAAAAAAATCCACATGGTCACTTAGGTAATGGAGGAGAAAAAGCAAGAAGAAACCTGGGCACTGTGATACATGCCTGTAATCCAGGTTACTTGGGAGGCTAAGGCAGGAGTATCATTAAATTTAAGGCCAGCTGGGTGCAATGGAGCACACCTGTAATTCCAGTAGCTCAGGAGGCTGAGGCAGGAGGATCACAAATTTGAGGCCAGCCTCAGCAATTTAGGGAGATCCTAACAAACTCAGTGAGATCAAGTCTGAAAAATAAAAAATAAGAAAGGCTGAAGATGTTACTCAGCATGAAGCACCTCTGGTCCAATAAGAAGAAGAAGAAAAGAAAGAAGAAGAAGAAGAAGAAGAGGAAGAGGAGGAGGAGGAGGAGGAGGAGGAGGAGGAGGAGGAGGAGGAAAAGAGGTATGAGAGGGTACAGAGAGGCAGATTCTGTGAAAATGCCATTGATTTTGGTCCAGGTAAACTCTGGTCTTTGGATGCCATGTGAGAGAGAAGTTTTGGTAGATCAGGGAGTGAAAGAATATTTTGAGGAGTCAAGACATAGTATGAAATAAAGATGACACAGACACATCTCTGATAGCAATACTCCTCTGTTCAAGAAAAACAGAAGATTAGAGGATGAAGAAATGGAAATTGAAAACATGGACTCCTTTTTGAGGAAGTTTGGTAAGGAAGGCGCATTAACCCAGACATGATGGTCCACAGCAACTTGGAAGGCCAAGGCAGGAAGATCACAAGTTTAAAGGCAGTCTGGGCAACTTAGATCCTGTCTCAAATAAGATTTTAAAATAGTTTCAGGATGTAGCTCAGAGGAGCCCTGATTCGATTCCCAGTGCCAGGGGAAAAAAACAAAGACAAAAACAAAACAACAACAACAAAATACAAAAAAGGAAGACACATTAAACCTGAACTATCCCAAGGAGAACTCATGATATCCATGCCCCATCTCCTCCTCCTTCCATGTCTCTGATCTCAGTGCATGGCTTTCCTTACAGATTGTAAGTTCCATGAAGTCAGGGCTGCACCTGCTGTAGAGACAGGTGTCTCACCAGCATGCTGTATGGTGTCTGCATGTTTCATGGATGCAGACTTAGGGTAGGACCTGTCCTCAGAGGTACAATGAAAGACACCAAACCCATTCCTTGTAGTACTCCTGTCTCCCCTGCATCCCAACACAGAGGCCTCCTGGTTAACTTCAGGAAAGCAGAAGGTAATTCTCCTCCAGACTATTAACCTCCTCTCTGGGGCTTCCAAAGCTCTCTGCATTCTTTCTTTCCCCTGTCCCCTCAGGTGGGGCTCTAATCCAAGTTGTTTGCCACACTTCAGCACACAGGAACAATTATGGGCAGGTAACATCTCCTCCTTGCCCCTGTTACCTACCCTATCCTCAACTAACTTCCTCACCATGGTCTGCCACCTTCCTTACTCCTGCCTTCTTGGAGTTCTGTCTGAGGCTAGATCTCTGCGTCTCCTTGTAAATCTTTCCTCTCAGAAGCCCTAAACCCAACCTAGTAAGGAGTGGAAATGGGGCCTTGGGGAAAGCAAGACCCATTGAGAAGAGAATGGCATCCGTTATCTTCCCTGGTGGATACCCAAGGACCTATTCTCTGTTCCTTATATAGGTCTGTCTCCTCTCACTTGTCTTTGTCAGTCCGCCCCGCCGCCCCGCCCCAAAGAGATGGAGAGACGTGAAGAGGGAAACCAAAAGGGCAAAATCTTCGTGGTGCCAGAGTCTTTGGAATTGCGGGTGATAAATCCAGTAAGTCTCTTTAATATCGTCTTTCAGTTCACACACACGCACACACAGATCAGAACAAGGCAAGGACTGCCAACGGGAACAGGGAGAGGGGCCGGAGTCCTCCCAGGATTGGGAGGTTCTTATCCTGGGATTCCCTTCAGCCCAAGATGAGTGGAATGGAGTATTTACAGAGAATGGGTGCTTTTCTTCTGGGTGAAGGGTCCTAAACCAGAAATCTCCCAAATCACATTCCAAAAATCACTAAAGGAGAGTTCTGGAATTTGGGGGAAAATATGAAGAGAATCAAGTGGAGGAGAACGAAACTGTACTGGCAAAAATTGGGAAAGAGCGTGGGGGCGTGGCTATCCCGGGTCGCAGCCCTCTGGCCAGAAAAAGGGGAAGAGTCTGTTTGTCAGTGGGCTAGGCCTAAAGCCACAAACCCAATCACCTGACTGAATCGCCCCGTAGAGACGGAAAAGAAGGCGGAGCCTGCCGACCTGAAGGCGGGGTTTTGTCAGAGCTGGGGTGGAGCCTATAAAGGAGGTGGGACTTCGGAGACAAGATTCCAGGCTGGGGAGCACAGGGAGCACGGCTGGGGGCGCTGCACTTTGATGGGATGGGGTATTGGAGCCCGATTTGTAGCAGGGATCCCGGGAAGCAGCGTCCCTGGGGTTGTGGGTTTTGAAGGGGTTCCTGAGGAACTGGATTAGGAGCGTGCTCGCAAGGCCAGAGATTCCGTGGAGGCGGAGTTTAGGATGTTTGGAAGTCCGGCTGCCCCAGAGGCGGGTGTGCGGGACGCCTATTGGGTCCGCAGCTTGACTGCAGAACGAGTCTGGGAGGTTGAGGGGCGCAGAGTGGGGCTGGGCAGAGGGAGATTTTAGGGATCCCAGTAGTTTTCGTGGTGCTGTGCGGCAATGATGATGACTACGGTGAGGATAGTACAGAGCACCATGGCTGCGATGCCCACCGCCAGGGAGATGAAGGAGAAGTTCCGAGCCTCGCGTGAAGCGATCTCCGCAGACACCATGTCTCCGCGGGCCAAGGCCGTGCGCACCTGCGGGGGAGGGGTGGAGGACCGCGGTCAGAGTGCCGCTGTTCTCTAGCATGCCCCAGCCTTCCTTTAAGATGGTCCCCTTAAGGCCCAACATTCCCAGTACTAAGAATAACGGCGTAAACCTAACCCCGGCTCCCCACACCTGCACTGCCTTGAAGATGGCGATGATGCCCGTAGGCCAGAAGCAGCAGATGGTGGTCAGCACTGCAATGGGCATATAGTCGTGTGGCGGGCGCCTCGGCTCCAGCAGGGCCAGCCCTGGGCCTTGGGGCGGCGGGGGGAGAGTGGAGGTCACTCCAGTTCCCCCTGGGGTTCCGCCTGCATAAGGCTGCAAAAGGAAAATTGGAGGAGGGATGTTGCTCCGACCTTGTTACAACCCACCAGCGTCCCGCCTCTGGCAAGTTGGTTTTAGTAGCACAATTCTTATCCGTTGCTTCTCAAAGAAACTGATTAACCACTGCCCTTGTAGGACACCCATAAATTTCGCCTAGGTTCCTCTCCTCCATTCATTGCATCATTTTGGATATCTCCGCATTCTTCCACTAGCTACGGACCATAGGCATTGTCCTGGCCTCACTTGGGACCTGTTCCTTCCCTCCAGACACCTCCCTGACCTCCCCTCCCTCATGCCCTTTGGTTTCCAGGTTCCATTTCTTTCCTTCTTTCAGACTTCCTTTTGATCTCTAGGTTCCCCCACTCAGGTCCCGACCTCTGACCCCAAAGGACCCCCAGGTCCTTCACCTCCAAGCCTTTTCTTAGCCCCTTCTCTCTCTCTGGGACGTGTCCCCAGAAACACAACCTGGTTTTCTGGTTCTATTTCTCTATTACCTCGGTTCCCGGTGTGCCCCCAATTTCAAGTGCTGTTCCACTGTGCCTCCCTCTTCCCAGGCCCCAGTCAGCTCCCTCACTCACCGTGCCCACCGGATAGACCGGCACGTAAGCAGTACAGGGCTGCAGCTGCAGTGGGTAGCCGGGCGCTACGTAGCCCCCCAGCGGCAAAGTGCCCACCGCCCCCGCGTGCGTGGGCACCACGAAGCCAGGAGCCTGAGCAGTCGGTGCAGGCGCCGGCGGGGGTGGGGCAGCGGCGGCGGGCGGCGGCGGGGGAAGTTGGGGGGGCCGGGGTAATGTGGCTGAGGACGAGGGACCGCGTTGAGCTGTGGCCGAGGAAGAGGTCAGGCCGCCTGCGCCTAAGCGCGGGAGGGTGGCGGTGCCAGACTGGTGGTAGTGGTGGTGATGGTGATGGTGCGAGGAGGGGGCTGCCTGTGGGGGCGGGGCGGGAGGTTCGGCAGGGGGCTGGGGAGCATTGTATGGAGGTGGAGAAGTGTGTGGAACTGAGTCCGGGAGGCCTAGGGGCAGTAAGCCAAGGAAAGGGTAAGTGGAGAGAGAAGACAGCAATAAGATCAGAAGGAGACAGTCAGAGATGGAGATAGGTAATGGGAGAGGAGGAGGGAGGTGATAAGAAGTCATCTCTCATTTGGGGGTCAGGAGAGGGGTTGTATCTAGGCCATCTGCCTCCCCCCCTTCAATCTAGTTTTGAGGTCACAACTGTCCCCTCCTCCTCTTCTTTTTAAGCAATACGCACTCAGCTTTCACCCACAGACACAATCTTACTTTTAAGCTATGGCTGCCTTTGGACAGGCCTACCTGAGCTAGTCCTATGTGTGCACATGTGTAAACATGCATTACTGTGTTCACATGTGCTTACTTCAGTAGTTGTATACACATATGTGGGATGACATGTTCCACTCTGCCCTGGCCTCTCTGGGAACCTCAGGGCCATTTTTTAGTGCCCATAAAGAAGAGTCTTTTGAATTTGACTCCCTTGATAACCCCAATTTGATCATGTCTCCATATTTGCCAAATGGATATATCTATGCCAGTGAGCCACTGACTTTCCATCTGTCACTTCAAGTGATGCTATCCCTGCAGTACCTGGCTGATGCTAAGCTTCTGTTTACCTCCCTTAACCTCTCAACCTGCCCTCCTACCCATGTTGTTGGCAAGAGGCAGAGGCTGAGACTGGAAGGAGGCAAGGAAGAGAAGGGTGGGAGATAGAGGAGGGGGTGGGGGTGTAGAGAGCTGGAGAGAAGGGGAATGGAACCAAAACACTCACTAGGGAGGGCTAAGGAAGGGGGTTAAGGCAAGGGAGGGGGGGATGAGGAGAAGATGGAGGGAGGGGGTTGTTATTGTTGTTTATTTTTTACCTGACTTTTCCGATGTCATGATTGCAGTGTGGCTGGGACAGCGTCCCTGCCCTGGAGTCAGTGGCCCCTGTCTGGCGCTGGAGTCTGGGTCCGGGATGGCGCAGCCAGCGGCAGCAGCACAGAGATGGAGAGATGAAGACTGTGGGGTGGGGCGGAGGGAACGCCGATGGGGGGGGGAGCTTAAAGGGACCGAGGCAAGGGAGGGGGAAGAGCTTCAGACGTCCTCCAACTCGTCTCTGTTCTTGGACCACCTCTCTCCTCCTCTCACCCTGGCATTCAAGCCCCCAATTTAGGCTCCCTTGGAGTTGTCATGGAAACAGGAGGCAAGACCAGGCAAGGAGGGTGGGACTTAGGGAAGGAAGGAGGGAGAAAGAACTCTCTAGAGTCTCCCCCTCCAAGGCTCGCTGTAGTGATTATATTGTGGGAGGAAGCCAGCAGGTGCTCATTGGATTCAGTGTGCCAAGTTCCCTTTACATCTGGTTCACCCAGGCAGGTCTTCTTAGTTTCCCTCAGCTCCCTGCAAGGTGCCAGCATCTTTTCCCAAATCCTTGGCCCTAGTTTCTCTTTAGGAGAGATAATCTTGTGGGTACACAGTCTGAACCTAAGATCCCGGCAGTAAAGTGGGAGTCTCAGGTCTATTATTTGAGGATAGCTCCTCTGGCTGGAGGAAGAGAGATGGGAGTAGGGGGATGCATAGCTACCTTCTTCCAGGGTTAAGGAGCTGAAATGGTTTGGGAGCAGGAAGGGGTGACTTAACTGCTCATTTCTGGCAGGTCGGTTTGGAAATGTATGCTTGTTGGTGGTGTGTTTGGACTTCTAAGGCAAGTTAGCGGTCAGCTACACCCCCCCCCCACACACACACATACACACCCGCCAGGAGGAAACTCCACCTCCGGGGTCGACCTAAAGCATTGCGATTATTGCTCTTTTTATTGCTCTTTGCATCTTGGAAGCGAGTGGGTGGGGAGGAGGGATAACCAAAGGCAGTCTATGGAGATTTACACCAGTTGGGCTTGTTGCAGAAACATGGCCAGAAAAATCATTGTGTCCCCCCCCCCCTTAAGATTAATTAAATTCCCAGCCTCCATCTGAGGCAGTCATTTTCGGGCTGTGTACCTCCCGGTCCCTGTCCAAGAGGAGATCAGTAAAGAAGGCCTCGCCCCAGTCCCATGCCCCAGATTTAGATCATAGCCTTACCTGGTACTTCTGGTTTTTCAGGTGTTTGCGGGAGCCCCTAATGCCTTGCTCCCGAATACCTTTCTCCCACCTCGTCCTTCACTCTTCACGCTTCTGAGCGTACATTGGTTTTATTGGGAGAAACAAATTTAGACCCAGTAGAGACCTTGTGAAATAGGGAGAAGCTCAGACAGCTGACGAACCTTTTCTCAAGGGAAACGCTTTAATTAAGTAAACACTCAAACAAATAAGGGCCCTAACCCAGGCTTTAGGGCATCGGGTTGGGGTCACTAATAGGTTGAGAGGTGCAGGCGCCTGGAGCTCGGAAGTCTGGATTGGGTGGTAGGGTCTGCGTCGGGAACTGCCTACAGAGTTCGGAGGGCCGGATTGTGGGGTCGCTCAAGTTCAACGACCAGGCAGCAGCATCTTCCAGGGGTGGTGAGTCAGCGCAGCCCCAGGGCCCTCCGCCCCTTAAGGGTGGGTTGTTCCTTGGGAGGGAAGTAGATAGAGTAGGGCGGGAGAAACTGGGCCAGGCTGCACTTAGCTCGAGGGGCCTTGAGGACTCTCCGCGTCTCTGGAGACCAGGGTACTACACGCACTTCAGGATGAAGAGTTGTAAGACGCTGACATGGGGCGGCGGGGGCGGGCGGGCGTCTAGGGGAGCGCATCGGCTGTCATCAGCCGGTCACTCCATCTGGCCACTCACCCAGCGTACCGCAAAATACTTTTTCCCAGTCCGTCCCCCACCGCCCCATGGGGACCAAGAACTTCGTGTTCGGCTGCGAAGCCAAACGCGTGGATTGGGAAACCGAGCGAATCAAGGCAGGGCAAGTCGAACCCTTGGGTCGCTGGGAGCAGCCGGGCCTGGAGTGGCCTTCTTTCGATTCCCAGGATACATTTGCTGCTGCTGCTTCTCCCCACTGGTCTAAATGGGTTGCTCCGCCTATTTCCTCCCCACCTTCCAGAGTGCATTGGAACGTTCCATTGCCTCTCCGGTCCCCTGCCTCTGTTGCAGGGGACGCTCGCACGGTTGCCAGGGAAAGCCCGGACGTGACGGCTTTGCGCGACCCCGAGCAGCCCTCCCCCCTCCCACCCGTCATCCCCCTGGCGCTTTCTTCTCTCACGCTTTCCCTCCCCCTTGGGTTCCAGACTAGGGAGAAGTAAACATCTGGCTGAGTGAGACCTACAGACCAGGCCAGGTGGGAGTTTGCATTCTTCAGGGGGCCAACGCTGCTGTTCAGGGTCCTGTGGAACGCTGGGTTGTGCCTGGTGGTGGGGTTGCATAAAGAAGATCCTGGGCCTAGGGACCAAGTCCCTGAGCGCGGAGTTGGGGGCGGGACTTCTGGTGAGCGTTGGTGCGTCAACGCGGTGGGGGTGTGTGTTTGTCGGGGGAGAACTGGAGTAAGTTCAAAGTAGGCTAAAGGACCTGGTGTGGGAGCAGGAGGGGGAGGCTTGATGGCTGGGCATCTGTTCCGAAGGTAATGGGTGTTGTCATCTACCTCATGGGCCCTCATTCTACCTTCTTAGGCGGGAGCATGCTGGGGCTCTGGGGGCAAAGGTTCCCCTCGGTGTGGGTCCTGCTCCTGTTGCCATTCCTGCAGCTGCTGCTGCCTGCAGTCCCCGCGTCCCACAGCGCTTCCTACAAGCCGGTCATCGTGGTGCACGGGCTCTTTGACAGCTCATACAGCTTCCGCCACCTGCTGGAATACATCAATGAGGTCTGTCCGGGGACACCCAGTGGAGGACATTGGCAGAGTTTGCCTTGACTGGGGAGGAAGTGGGTAGCTGAAAGCCACCCCCCACCCCCACGTCTCCTGCCTGCCAGTTCCTGCCATCCTGGCATGGTGATAATGGGGGGACGGGAATCCCTGGTTCTAGCAAGCACAATAGACATGTGGATGTGGCCAGGGATAGGTATGTGGGGGCTTCATAGTCCATCCCCAGTGGTTGTATTGTCCTTTCCCACAGACACATCCTGGGACTGTGGTGACAGTGCTCGATCTCTTCGATGGCAGAGAGAGTTTACGGCCTTTGTGGGAACAGGTACAAGGATTCCGAGAAGCTGTGGTTCCCATCATGGCAAAGGCTCCTGAAGGGGTACATCTCATCTGCTACTCCCAGGGTAGGCAATTACCCATTCCCAACTCCTGATCAGTGTCTGAGGGATACTTCTTAGTGTCCTCAGCACTACATTGCTGAACCACATTGCCCTAGCCTGAGCCCTTCTTTTCTGACTTAACTCAGCACCTGGGTCTTCTCTCTCTGTGTCCTGGATGGGAGGGAGGCTCCCTGCATTGCTGCCCTTACTTTGTCCATTACCCCTGATTCTTGGATTTCATGATTAATAGGGGCAGTTGAAAGTATCCTGGAGTTAAGAGTCGGGAAGCCTTGATTATAATTCTGTCACTTACATGACACATGACCTTTTGGCCCAGGGTGTGTCTGTTCTATGAGTCTCAATCTCCTTTATGTTCAGTATGGTGGTGATGGTGGGGTGTGGGGCAAAAGACAAGAGCTGTTGACCTTGTTATCCTTCATTTCCTGCCCAATATTGGTGTTCTGCCTATAGGGGGTCTGGTATGCCGGGCACTGCTCTCTGTCATGGATGACCACAATGTGGATTCTTTCATCTCACTCTCATCTCCACAGATGGGACAGTATGGAGGTGAGTGGGCACTGTGGGCTGCGTAGAAGGTCCCACGTTTTGGAGGCACAGAGGTTTGTGGTCACTTGGCACTGCCATTCTTTTGCCAGACACAGACTATTTGAAGTGGCTATTTCCCACCTCCATGCGGTCTAACCTCTATCGGATCTGCTATAGCCCTTGGGGTCAGGAATTCTCCATTTGCAACTACTGGCATGGTGAGTGGGGATACTGAATAGGGATACCAATATGGTTATTACCATAACCAATAGCAATGACAAAAATAGTGTAACTTCTGTTCACTGAGCACTTATTATCTGAAGAGGCACTATTCAAAAATGTTTGATGTGGCTGGGTATGTGGCAGCACATACCTATAATCCCAGCAATTTGCAAGAGTGAAGTAGGAGGACTGCAAAATTTGAGGCCAACCTGGAAAACTAGCATGACCCTGTCTCAAAATAAAAAATAAATGGGATGAGAATGTAGCTCAGTGATAGAGTGCCCTGGGGTTAATCCCCAGAACTGGGGGGCGGGGAGGGGAGACCACCACCAAAATATTTCATGTGTGTCACCTTGCCTCAGAGAGTACAAGATACAAAGATCAGCCAGACTTTTCTGTGATGTATGTTGAACAGTACCTGGTTCATAGTAGTGGCTAGATATAAGTGCTTTCTATTGTGTATACAATTATTATATTGCTATCACCCTGAATATGAATGTAGTCACCTGACTGGTTTTCCAGTCTTTGGTCTTGTCTCCCTTCTTTGCTTCTCTGTCTTCCTAACTGTTGTTTCCTCCCAGACCCTCACCATGATGACTTGTACCTCAATGCCAGCAGCTTCTTGGCCTTGATCAATGGAGAAAGAGACCATCCCAACGCCACTGGTAAGATCCCATGTTCCTACCCATCTCTTTAGCTTCTTTGATCCCCTATATCCCTCTATCCAACCTGGCCTGACTCAGGTTGTGGCTAACTCACTCTCTCTTCTTCCCACCCTGCAGCATGGAGGAAAAACTTTCTTCGTGTGGGTCGCCTGGTGCTCATTGGGGGTCCTGATGATGGTGTCATTACTCCCTGGCAGTCCAGGTAATAAGGAATGTGTGAGCTGAACATTGGCTAAAGACACATCCAACCTTCACCAATCTCTATCTCCTATCTAGAACTAGCTTTTCTTCTCACTGTTCAGTTAGTGCCACCCCCTATACCAATCATTCTGTTACCCAAATGTAAAACTTGGGAGTCCTATTCTAACCCCTATGTGTAGTCAGTCACTAAGTCTTGCTAAATTTACTTCCTCTACCACTCACCTCCTTTTGTAGATTTTTTTCCCCCCAGTGGTGAGGATTGAACCCGGACCTTTTCCCTTGCTAAGCAAGTGCTCTACCACTGAGCTATACCCCCAGTTTATTTTTTATTTTTTAAATTTTTTTAGTTGTAGTTGGACACAATTGGACACAGTACCTTTATTTATTTATTTATTTTTATGTGGTGCTGAAGATCGAACCCAGCACCTCATACGTGATAGGCAAGTGCTCTACCGCTAAGCCACAACCCCAGCCACCCCCAGTTCTTGTAAAAAAAAAAAACTTTTAATTTTGAAATAATTATGGATTCACAGCAAGTCCCAAAGATGGTATAGAGAGGTCCTATGTACACTTGACCTAGTTTCCCAATGGTTATATCTTAGGTAAACTAAAGCACAGTATCAAAACCAGGAAATAAGCTGGGCATGGTGGTACGCGACTGTAGTTCCAGCACTCGGGAAGCTGAGGCAGGAGGATCAGCTGAGCCCAGGAGTATGAGACCAGTCTGGGCAACACAGCGAGACCCCATCTCAAACCAACCAACCAACCAACCAGGAAGTTAACATTGGTACAATGTATGTTTGTGGTTCTGTGCCATTTTATTATTTTCTACCAGCACTTTATTTACCAAGACTATTTTAACACCTCCAGCCTCATCTCTCTATGGCACTATGTGATTGTCTCTGTTGTAGGTCATCATGAGTGATCTGAAATGTCACCTGAGTTACCTTACTTAACAAATATTTATTGAATTCTATGTGCCCAGCTGCTATTCTGGGTTCTGGGAATGCAGCAGTAAATAAAAAAGAAATCACTGCTATTATGTAGCTTACATTCTAGTGGGTAGAGGAAGTAAATTAGACTAGACTTATTTAGATAATAAATGTAAGTATGTATGTCAGGTGGCAATAAAGGAAGGCAGGAGAGACATCAGAGGATGCTTAGGGCCTGTTTTAATGCTCAAAGAAGGCATAATGGAAGAGTTGCAACTTGAGCAGAGGCAGAAGGAAGTGAGAGAGGGAGTTGTATAACAGAGGAGGAAGAAGACCCAAGCAGCACCTGCAGAGGGCCTGGGGCAGGTGTGAGTAATGAGGCTGATAGAGGAAGAGCATGAAGAGCTCATGAGAGGAAGAAAAAGAGGTAGTGAGGACCAGTTGTGTTGAGTTTTTGCAGGTTAAAGTAAGGCCTTACTTCTTTATTCTCTTTTTCTTTTTTTGTATGTGATAAAATATAGATAACAATAGGTTGGGGATACAGTTCAGGGATACAGCACTTGTCTACCATGTGTCAGGACCTGGGTTTGATCACAAGCACCAGAAAAAAAAAAATAGGTAGTAAAAATTACCATTTTAGTCCAGGCAGTACATACCTTAATCCCAGTGACTCAGGAGGCTAAGGTAGGAGGATCACAAGTTTGAAGCCAACCTTGACAATTTAGTCTCAAAATAAAAAGGGCTGAGGGGCTGGGGATGTGGCTCAAGTGGTAGCGCGCTCGCCTGGCATGCATGCAGCCAGGGTTCGATCCTCAGCACCACATACAAACAAAGATGTTGTATCCGCTGAAAACTAAAAAATAATATTAAAATTCTCTCTCTCTTAAATAAATAAATAAATAAATAAAAAGGGCTGGGGGTATGCCTCAGTGATAGAAGGCCCCAGTACCACACACACAAATAAACAGACAGGTGTGGTGGTGCATACTTGTAATCTGAGCTACTTGAGAGACTGAGGCAGAAGGAGTGCTAGTTTGAGACCAGCTTCAGTAACTTAGCAAGACCCTGTCTCAAAATAAAAAATAAAAATGGGCTGAGAATGATGCTCAGTGGTGAAGTGCCCCTGGGTTCAATTCCCAGTACTTTGAAAGAAAAAATCCTATTATTATCTTCTTTTGACATTTAAGGAAACACAGGGCAAAGAGATTAAATAACTTGCCTACATTTATTGTGTTAGTAAGTGCTGTGAGGTCAGGCTATCTGACTTTTTTTTTTTAATTTTTTTTGTTTAGTTGTTGATAGTCCTTTATATATTTTTCGTGGTGCTGAGAATCGAACCCAGTGCCTCACACATGCCAGGCAAGTGCGCTACCACTGAGCCCCAGCCCCGGCTATCTGACTTTTAATCACAATGTTTTACTTCCTCTTGATAAAGGAGGTATTCTTTATAGGACAATGAGGACAAGTAACATACTGAGACATACACATGGGGAGAGTGTGGCAGAACTGGGGTTCAAATTCAGGCCTGTGTGTGTGTCCCTACCACTTCTACTACACCTTCTACAATATAACGCCAGACCCCCAGACCTCCAGCCCAGCTTTCCCATGTGCCCAGCTGTGTCTCTGTGGCTTTGCTCTTGCTGTTTCCTTTATCTGGATACCCTTCCAGGAGCACCACAGGGAAGTTTTGTTGATGCTGTAAAAACTAAAGTAATGGTCTCTTCTCTGATCACACAGTCCACCGAACTTAACATCATTAGCATTTGTGAAGTTATTCACAGTGAGGTTCCACTCAGTGCCCATGACAGTTAAATACTCTTTAATTTAAAAATGTGTAATTAGGGCTGGGGATGTGGCTCAAGCGGTAGCGCGCTCGCCTGATATGCATGCGACCCCGGTTCGATCCTCAGCACCACATACCAACAAAGATGTTGTGTCCGCCGAGAACTGAAAAATAAAAAAAAAAATTAAAAATAAAAAAAAAATAAAAAAAAAATAAAAATGTGTAATTAATCCTGAGAACCACACCAAAAAAAAACTATTTTAAAAGAAATTTTATTTTGAAATAATTTTACACCTAAGAAAAATAAAGCCAGGCATGGTAATGGCATGGTATCCAACATACCAAGAACATTAAGTCAGGAGGACTGCAAGTTTGAGGCCAATCTGGGCAACTTATTGAGACCTATCTCAAAATTTAAAAAAAGAAGAAAAGAAAAAGGAAAAAGGTGGGCAGGATGTAGCTCAGTGATAGAGTGGTTGCTTAGCATGTGGAAGGCCCCAAGTTTAATTCCCAGCATGGAAGGAAGGAAGCCAAGTTAGTACAAAGCATTTCTTTTTTTTTTTTTAATTCTTTTGAGACAGGGTCTTTCTAAATTGCTGAGGCTAGCCTCAGACTTGTGATCCTCCTACCTTAATCTCTTTAGTCACTAGAATTACAGGCCTGTGCCATTGCACCTGGCTTGTATACTCTTCACCTAACTTTCCCAAATGTTAACATTTTACCATGTTTACATTAACATATTTTCTCTGTCCCCTTAAATATATGTATATTTATGCATATATGTTAATATTTAAATATATTCAACATTTATATATATATCAATTTTTTGTGTGAACCCTTTGAGAGCATTCTGTAGACATAATGTCTCTTTACATCTGTATATTTTAGTGTGTCAGGCTGTATTTCCTATAAGCAGGATGTTCTTTTATGTAACCACAGTAGTTTTCAAAAGTGGAAAATTAATAGAGACAGTAATGTAATTTTTTGGGGGGGAGGGGGGTGGTTATTGGGGATTGAACTCAGGTGCTTAACCACTGAACCATATTCCCAGCCCTTTTATATTTTATTTAGAGACAAGGTCTTGCTGAGTTGCTTAGGGCATACTAAGGTTGGCCTCAAACTTACAATCCTCATTCCTCAGCTTCCTGAGTGGCTGAGATTACAAGCATTCACCACCATGCCTGGCTGTCCTCAGACCTTTAAAAAAAAATTAAAAATTTTTATTTTTACATATATAGATGGACACATATCTTTATTTTATTTATTTAGTTTTATGTAGTGATGAGGATTGAATCTAGTGCCTCACATGTGCTAGGTAAGCACTCTACCACTGAGCCACAACCCCAGCCTCATCCTCAAACCTTTTTAAATTTCACTTTTGTTTTACTTTTTGTGGTGCTGTGGATTGACTCCAGGGCTTTGCACAGGCTGAACAAGCACTCTACCACTGAATTATACCCCTGGCCCTCAAATTTTGAGACAGGATCTTGATAAGTTGCTCAAGCTTAACTCAAATTTGCAGTCCTCCTGTCTCAGCCTCCCACGTAGCTGAGATTGCAGGTATGTGCCACCACACCTGGCTCTAATTGTCCTTATAGGGAAAAAAAAAATCAATACAAGTTCAAACTCAGGCCTGTTGTCATGTCTCTTTAGTCTCTTTTAATCTGGAATTGTTCCTTAGTCTTTGTCCATGACATTGACAGTTTTGAAGTGTATTGACCAGTTGTTTTGTGGAATGTCCTTCAGTTTGGGTTTGTTGGATATTTCCTCATGATGATATTTAGGTTATACATTTCTAGTGAGAATTCTACAGAAATGATGCAGTACCCTCAGGGCATTACTGCATCTGGTATGTGATATCTAATTAAGTTTTTTGAGTGTCCTTCCTGCCGATTGTCTCCCCAGCAGGCTGTAGGTTCCTAAAGGACCCTAGACCACCTTGATTATTTCCAGTTTTTGATATCCACCCTCAATCTCTTTGTAGCTTCTTTGGTTTCTATGATGCCAATGAGACAGTCTTGGAGATGGAGGAACAACTGGTGAGCCCCTTGGGATTACTCCCCCTCTCTTCATCCACTGTCCCACTCATTCTGGAGTCCTTCCTGCCACTGACTCCTGAGCTGAAGGGTTCACCCTATGGGGAGGGGGCCTAGGACACCAACAGTAACTCAATTTTGTCTCTTTTTGTGTCTTTCTTCCATGTTTCCACACCCTTTGGCCTACCTGGAAGGTATATCTGCGGGATTCTTTTGGGTTGAAGACTCTCTTGGCTCGGGGGGCCATAGTGAGGTGTCCAATGGCTGGGATCGTCCACACAGCCTGGCATTCCAACCGCACTCTTTATGAGACTTGCATTGAACCTTGGCTCTCCTGAGGACATCCTCAGATGTCTCCAGAACTCCCCAGCCCAGAGACCAAGTGGTGGCCTTGGAAAGCAGATGTCAGGCTCTGGCATTGGCAATGACCACCTCATTGCTCTCACACTGCCCCCACATCAACCAGGGCTCCCAGAACCCCCATCCTTTGCTCCTCCATGAATGACAAGTCCTGGTCCCCCTACCTCATGTTTTCTAGTTTGGGGGTGGCTCCATGCTCTCCCTTTCTCCCAAGACCGAGGTTGGGAAATGAGAACCAGGTTTTTAACTTGTGGCTGCTCCTGTTGCTGCTGCTGCTCCTCTGTATCTGGCTGTATAGGAGGAGAACCCAGCCCCTGCCCACCACAGGGGCCTCCTTCCAGGCCACTCAGGACATTTTTAGCTTATGTTCTCCCCATGTTCCCTTTTCCTCTGAACTTCCCTGTTGCCAGCCCTCCCTACCCACAAGAGGGACACCCATGAGTGGGGTTCTGAGGCTCCCCTATGGGGACAGTTCCGTTCTTGAAATGTCAGTGTTGGGGACTATCTGTGGCCTGTGAGGCCCATCTCAGGTTTTGGGATCCCCCAGTCCCTAGGATCAGTGTTGGGGTATCCCTGGGAGCCTAATTTCTTTGAGGCCCCAGCCCCTCTTTTAACTACCCTTGTATGAGTATGTCCCCTGTATTTATGGAAATAAAGTTCCATTTCCTCAGAGTGGCTTGGCTTATTTCCAGGTGAAGGGGACCTAGGCTCCTCAAGGAGGGTGGGAATGGAAAGCCTGGGGCCTGGGTGCCCGGATGCTTGGGCTGGGATGGGGACCCCCTTGGTGTTTCCGTCTTCTCAATGCCCATTCTGTGTGGGTTCCTGATTCTCTGCGGGTTCTTTCCTGCTGAAGACAATTCTCTTCCTGTCCCAGCCTAGGATTAGGGGGCTGAACCCTAGGCTCCAGTGGTTTGGGCCTCAGTTTTAGGGGTGGAATGTGCCTGCCACCCCCAGGCTAGACGAGGAGGCTGAGGGTCAGGGTGGGCATTTGTTGTGCCCCTTTTTGACCTTTGTAGGCCAGAGCTGGGTGAGGGGCTATACAATGAGCCTCCTTTTCCTTGAAAGAAGGAATTTTGGCTCACACAATAGGGCCCTGTCTGCTCTGGCATGGAGGGTGGTGGCTGACTCAACTCTGTGCCCCCCAAGCCCTAACAAATGTCATCAAGAGATGGGGGCACTTTTCCCCTTAGTTCCTTGGGCTGCCCCCCTGCCCTTTTGACAACTTACTTTTATTTCTTTTCTCAGCTGATCTTGCCTCTTCTCTCATGACTTGATCTGCTGTTTCTTGCCAGCCTGCTCTTCTCCCTGCCCCCAATTCTCCAGCAGTCTGTCTTGGGTTGAAGTAGGGCTAGGGAAAGGTCATAGGGTATTGGTGGTGTTAGAGCTAGGAGTCTCTGTTAATTTAGGAATCCAGAATTTGGGGCCCTCATAGGGTTAGGAAAATTCTTCTAGGGAGCCCTATGCTAGAGTGGGGGTGAGAGTTATAGGACTTGACCCCACTGAGCTGATCAGGCTAGAACTAAGGAGGAGGCTTGTGGGAGGGGGTAGGAATGGGAGGCCTCTGTCTGGCCTAGCCCCTCCTCTCCTTCCCTGCCCAGAGGGCCCACCCACCAGTCTGAGCTGCTGCTGCTGAGGCTGGTCTGCCTGAAGTCTCCCTGGAGAGAGAGGAAGCCAGGTTGGAATGGAGGGAAGGGGAGGCAGATGGGGAGGGAATGTCAATGAGTAAGGAGGGGGGTTACTCAGAGCTTTAAGAGTGGATATGAATTGGGGGGCATTGTCTGAGTGAAAGGTGTGTGTCCAGAATGTATTTGATGGTTTTAGTGTGTAAGGGTAGAAATATGTTTATGGTATGGTGGTTCCAGGAGCTTGGATTTGTATATAAGGTGTGAGGGTGTATAATTGGGGTTTTGAAAATATGAAGATTAAGTTATAAGAGAGCATGTTAAGGAGGACCATGAGGGGAGGGTTAACCATGTGTTTGTCCCTCCAGGTTGAGCAGAGTTTCAGGAGAGGATGTGTGAGAGGGGTAGTGGAGGGAGTGTGCTTGGGGGAGCCTGTATGATGCTGAGTGGATCCAGATATGCTAAAGATGATATCAGTTATATGTACACACAATTGTATACAGTCCTGATGGCTAGTGTGTAAAAGTGAATGTCTTAAATCCCTTAGAAGGCATCCACAGATGGAGAGAGGAAGGTCATCCATTAACCTCTTCTTGTCTGTAGCCCACAGAGTCTGAACTCAAAGAGAATCATGGGGTCCAAGGCTGAGCTGTGCACACTCTTTGGTGGACTTTCATTCCTCCTGCTATTGATATCAGGCGAGGGAGCCAAGGGTGTATCCCTCAAAGAGAGGTGACAACAGAAGGGGTGGGGCCTGGGTAAAGTCTGCATGTGAGCCTTCTGCTGGGAGTGGGGTTTCCTAGAAGGCAAAACAAAGTTGAAAATTCAGAAAGGGGGTTAGAGGCTGTCACCTCAGGGGTGCAGGATCTCAGTGGCTCCTTGAGGGAGATGGTTCTCCTGGCGGCCTAGGATGAACCTGACCCGCTCAATGTCTCCCACCTCCTCCTTTGGCACGGATGCAGTCAGGGGGTCTGCTCCCAGCAGATGCTGGTGGTCCCACTACGCTACAATGAGTCCTACAGTCAACCGGTATACATGCCCTACTTGACCCTGTGCGCTGGAAGGCGCATCTGCAGCACTTACAGGTGAGGGATGGGGAGCTTGGACTTTGGGATCTCTCAGTGACCCCAAAGAATCTCTACCAGATCCATATCTGAGGTTTGAGTCTGGTGCTGTGTTTCAGGACCACCTACCGCGTGGCGTGGCGGGAGGTGAGACGGGAAGTGCAGCAGACCCATGCCATATGCTGCCAGGGCTGGAAGAAGAGACATCCAGGAGCGCTCACCTGTGAAGGTGAGGTCCTGTCTTCCAGGCCTTTCAGGAGGTCTGCCGACGGGAGGCAGAATATTGGGGAGCTGAGCTATAGGTTTGGACCTGAAGCCCCACTCCCCCCCCCCATTTGCGCCAAGCCTTGCTTGAACGGAGGCGTCTGTATTGGGCCGGACAAGTGCGAGTGCGCCCCCGGCTGGGGAGGGAAGTACTGTCACGTGGGTGAGTCAGCTGGCCCTCCCCGCAGCGAGTGGGAGGGGCACTGGTGGCCTTCCCACCCACTCAGACGCCGGCCCTGCCCCCACCTCAGCACTCTCTTCTTTCCTATAACTAGACGTGGATGAGTGTAGGACCAGTGTCACCCTCTGTTCGCACCGTTGTTTCAATACCGCCGGCAGCTTCACTTGTGGTTGCCCGCAGGGCATGGTGCTGGGCCCCGATGGGCGTGCCTGCGCGGAGGGGTCCCCAGAGCCCCCAACCAGTGCCAGCATTCTGAGCGTGGCAGGTAAGTATGGGCCAAGTGCAGGAGAGCGCCAGGCAGCTGCTGGGGCCAAGGTAGCAGTCAAGTTCTCCCTCTTTGTCCTAGTTCGGGAAGCGGAACAGGACGAGCCCGCCCTAAGGCGGGAGATTCGTGAACTGCGAGGGCGCCTGGAGGGGCTGGAGCAGGTGAGTGTAGGCGTCTAGCGCCAAGCCCTCGGGGCAGAAGTGACCAGTCGCCTACATCCTCAGGTATTTCTTCCTTTGCAGTGGGCCGCGCAGGCTGGAGCTTGGGTACGGGCAGTGCTGCCCATGCCACCCGAAGAGCTACAGCCAGAACAAGTGGCTGAGCTATGGGGCCGGGGTGACAGGATCGAATCTCTCAGCGACCAAGTGCTGCTGCTGGAGGAGAGGCTGGGCACCTGTGAGTCTTCTTGTCCCTCCCCACGCAGACCCCTATCCCAACTGCCCGAACTCCTCCAGAGACCTTCCAGGTTCCGAATTCCCTCATTCCAGAAACCTCTCTTCAAAGTTCACTTTACTACCTTCCAGGATATCTCCATTTTTCTCCTAATCTGGGACCCTGCCTCAGTCTGGGTGAGAGAAGCAGTGTGGACCCCTCAGACTGGGGCAGTCCCCAGAGGCTTCAGCCATGGTGTCACACTATCCCTTTGTCATTAACCAGGCTCCTGTGAGGACAACAGTCTGGGCCCAGGACTGAATCGATAAGGAACTTCTAGAGCACCCAATCCCCTAATTTATAGAAACTGGACCCCACTAATCATCTGGGATTGGCCAACTGGGAGCTGCAAATAAGACTGCCACAGAGGAGCTATGAGCCTGGAAACTTTGAAGAGCTGAAGAATGGGCAAAGGCAGGCTGTGTTAGCCTGCCCATTTCTTCTGGTTGGGGACAGGTTGTCTGGACAAAGCCTGTGTCTTCAAATCCTTAACAAACATGGCAAGAAAGCACCCAGATCTCTCTCTCTCTTTATTTTCAGTTGCTTGCTGTTATCCAGATAATAAAAACCAACCATGAAAAACTGGGTGCCAGCCTCTCCTTTTGCTCCCAGCCCACCTCCTGGGCTGAGGAAACAGGACTGGAGTAGGAGGCAGGGAGTGGCGGATGCCACCAGGAGGAAATGAAAACTGGCTCAGAGAGGGGGAAGCCTCAAAAGAAAGAAATAAATTAAACAACCTCCTCTCCCCTCTGGCCAGGGTCCAGTTCCTTTCCCCAACTCCCCAGGGTTCAGTGAGTGCAGAATCTGATATCTGCCTCGTTCCCCTGTGTCTGGTTGGGATGGTATAGGGGACAATAGGGGACTGGGTTGGATCAGGACTACTGAAGGACTGTACCATGGGGACAGGGGGAAGCAGAAATGTGAGACCAAATTGGCATCCAGGAGTGTGTGCTCAACCCTGGGCATCTTGGCAAGGGAGGGATGAGACCTCTGAGTTAGAAGAGTCCAGCCCCTACAGATAGGGGCTCCACGGGGAGGGAGGATGAAGGTGCTGAGGAAGATTCCCAGGATGAGCCTGGGAGGAGTGTTCCAGGTATCAGCTTCCAGCCAGAGTGAGGAGTTGTCCCCACAAATGGATCAGTCCACTGAACCCATGAACTTAGGCATGGGGGGATGAATTGTTCCACAGACAGGATGAGTCTACTGGCCAATGTGGGATGGAGAGGGAGAGAAGACAGCAAAGGAAGAGTCCATTGGGGATGGGATGGGATGGAATATTCCCCACCCTTGTGTACAATGAGCCACTCAAGTTGAAGGGGAGGCAACTATCCCACAGACAAGATGGCAGGAGGTGAGGATCAGAATGAAGACTGCACCTAGGCAGAAGGGTCCCTGGATGGGGCCAGGAAGGGATAGGGAGTGACAATTGTACGTACTTTCACATCAGAATTTGAAGATTCTGAAGAGGAGAATGAATGGGGAGAAAGGAAATGAGGAAGAGTGCCCCTGCTTTAGGGCCAATGGGTTGGTAGGTGTGGGGCAGAAGATGGGGACAGATGGGAGAGAAGCTCACAGCCGGGCTTCGCCCACTCCCCCAGGCTTCTTCAGATAGTCACCACCACCCCGGCCATCAGAGGAGATTTCCCGGAAAATGGTGAGCATGGAGTGCCGGACTTTGTCAGCCAGAGCAGGGACATCATCTGGTGTCAGCCCTTCTGTGGGCACTGGTGGCAGCACCCGTACCTGACATCGCCCTGGTGAGATGAGGAGCACCATTATGGCTTGTTCTCCCAGGATTTTGCCCACAGGTAGTGCCTAGCTTCTGAGCAACGCTGCTACTCCCTTCCTCAATCTTGTGGGTTTCTTCCCCTAACCCTGGGCAACCACCTCCTGATTGCCAGCTGCCACCTGTTTTTTGAGGCCCTCCTGTACAAAGCCTTCCCTGAACCTCAGTCCAGATATCTCCTATCACCCGGGTTTAGCCTTCACCATGGAGGTTTATTGACTGCAGTTTTGCATATATAGACTATCTTTCCTGACAGATCAAAACAGCCCCTCTTAGAGACCAAGTACTGCCCACCCAACAGAGTATGGTGGGTGCTTAATAGATACTTTTGCCTGATGTGGGATCATACATGGGATATTCATGTGGGTATGTCTCATGGCTCTGTCACTGAATGATCCCCTGCTCACAGGGACATACCCTAGCCTCTCCAATGGCTGTTCTGGCCACATACTACCCCAGACCTGCTCAGAGCTCTCACCCGAGGTGAAGCGGCGCTCCTTCTTGCAGTAGAAGTCTTGATAGGAGGACATGACTATGGGGACAATGGGAACCTGGAAAAGGGATAAAGTGGATCAGTCCATGGCTCCCTGAGACCAACCACTGCCCAGAGAGGAAGGAAGGATGGGGCTGGGGACTGAGCAGTAGAAGGCAAAGTAGTAGTCACCTGGGCCTGTACTGCAAGATGGAAGGCGCCACGTTTGAAGGGCAGCATGGAGCCATTGTGATTTCTTGTTCCCTCAGGAAAAACCCAGACTCTTACCTGGTAGAGGAAGAGGATCAAGGAAGATATGCATATATGGAGGCATCAGAGTGGGTGCAATGCTATAATGAGGCCTGCCTGCCCTGTTTATCCATTAATATATAACTGTTCCATTTTCTAGTTCCCCAAGCCCCCATTTCCCCAAGATGACTTACGTCCTGGGTAAGCAGGGTCTGGGCGACCTCAGACATGACACTGATAGCATCCCCTGTGCGCTTCCGGTCAATGAAGATGACTCCTGCCAGCCAGCAGGCCAGCCCAGCAGAGCCAGCCCATAGTAGTTCACGCTTGGCAATGGGAACACAGCGGCCTGGCAGTACCTCCATCATTCCTTAAGCAGGCATGCGGATGGGGTAAGGATCAGGGTAGAGGCAGACTGCCACAGCAGGCATCCCACTCCACCCAGGTCATCACCCACACTAGCAGGGACTGGAGATAAAGGGAGGAGACTACATTTTACCCATGTAAAAGCAAGGGTGACTAAAGGCATATGTACCCTGCTAATGAGGGCAGACGTATTCTGGAGAAAGAAAACCTGAGGAGGGAGCAAGGGAGCAACATCCTAGAAGAGAGGAGTTGAGGACCTTTAAAGGAGCAGGTTTGTGGCAAAGTGCCAGGAGGGAGGGCATGTGCCTAGGAACGGGGTCTCACCAAGCAGGTCGAGGGAGCTCTGGTGGTTGGAGACTACAACGTAGGGCTGTGAGGGAGGGAAGTGATGGGCCCCTCGCACCTCCACTCGGATCCCATACAGGTATTTGATGTGGAGCAGCATTAGACGCAAGATCCTGTGGGGTCACGGCAAAGGGGCCCAATGGGATTCACTGATGTCCACCTGCCTGTCTCAGTTCTTCCCACCCTACTGTCTTTCTGGCCATTTTTGCAATTTTCTCCCCCTTCCATGTCCCTGGGCTTATTCAGTCTATTCTACACATACCATGCTGCTCCCTGTATCTACCATTCACTTCTCACCCTTGGGTTCCCTCATCACCCATCCATCACCCCTTGCCCCTCACTTCATGTTCTCAACGTTGCGTCCTCGCACGGCACACACAGGGATGGCAAGCACAGCCAGGAAGAGGATCCAACCATTGTAGAAGGCCATCTTAAAGAAATACTTGGCACTGGGGCTGCAGAACCACAGGGTGGGCAGCAGGAAGAGTAGCAGCAAGAGCAGCAGCAGCAGCACCGTCCATGCCCCGGGCCACAGCTCCATTCTGGCCACCTGCAGAGAATGGGGCAAAGGACAGTGGCCTGGTTTCTGGAGGGGAGGAGAGTGGAATGAGTAAGGCACAGAAGGAAAGGTTAGGGGGTATTATCAGGATAAGGACCAGAGATACAGAATGAGGTCTGAGCTCCTATCAAAACCTTCCCAGGAAGCCTCTCTAGGACAGGGAGCTCAAGATAGTTGTCCCCACCACCTCCAAGAGGGCTCTAGATACACTGAGACAAGAAGATCTGAGATATGGATATCTACAACTCAGATAAATGAGAACAAAACAATAAATCTAATGTGGTGGTGCACGCCTGTAATCCCAGTGACTCAGGAAGCTGAGGCAAGAGGATCTCAAGTTCAAGGCCAGCCTCAGCAACTTTGTGAGACCCTTAGTAACTTAGTGAGACCCAGTCTCAAAATAAAAAATATAATAAATGGGGATGTGGGTCAGTTGTAAAGCACCCCCAGATTCAACCCTCAGCACCAAAATAAATAAATAAATAAACAGAATCAACAAAAACAATGATAGCTAACACTTGTACTGAAAAGATAACCGTCTACACCTGCTTAGCCACATGTGGATACTGAGCACCTGAAATGTGGCTAGTACAAATTCAGATATTCTAGAAATGTAAAGTATACATCAGATTTTAAAAACTTTGGGTGAAAAACGAAAGTGTAAAATACTGCCTGATAATCTTCTAATTTCTTTTGGATATATTGGGTTAATGATGTACTCCATTAAAATCAATTTCACTTTGTGTATGGTACTGGGGATGAAACCCAGGGTGCACTGCCAGTGAGTTACATCGCCAGCCCTTTATTTTTTGAGACAGGGTCTCACTAAGTTGCTGAGGCTGGCCTCAAACTTGTGATTCTCCTACTTCAGCCTCCCTAGTGGCTGGGATTAAGGAATGCACCACCATACCTGGCTCACTGTTACCTTTAATGAGGCTATAAGAAAATTAAAAATTACATGTGGCTCACATTATATTTCTATTGAACTGTGCTGGTCTATACGTTATATTAAACATTTACATACTATATACACTATAAAGCACTATTATTATTTACATTTTATAGAAAATAAACCCAGAGATTAAAGATCTTACCTGAGACCATATAGCTCCTAAACAACATTAGGTCATATAGCTTCTAAACAAAATTAGGCAGCCTATGTCCTAAGCACTTTGTTATGCTGTCATCTGTATCTGTGTGGTGTATGTGTATACACCACACACAGAGTACACAGCAGATACAGTGACTGTGAACAAACATCCAAAAACACTAAGTGATGAGAGATGAAAATGAACACACACACGTAATCATACAGAGAGACACATTTGCATACATGCACAAATTTACCACCATACCCAATGACAGGTAAAGGAATATAAATGCATACCTAAAAAAATCTCTCTCCCCCCAGGGAGCCTCCTCTATTTTCAATAAATCCAACATACCAATCCTGTTTCCACAGATAGGTAACAAATTTCACCACCCTTTCCCCTTCTTTCTAGCCATATGCAGGCAATGTGGCTGGCCTCATCAAGTAAAACACGGAAGGTAGAGAATAAAAGGTCCAGATATCATACCACCTGCTCTGGACAGGACAGGACTCAAGTGGAAGAGGTATAGACATGCAGAGATTCTTCCTACTTCCTCTACTTTGTCTCACTGCTAAAGGGAGAGTCACAATTGACAAAAGGGGTGTTCAAGCAAATTATCTGTTATTCCCATCTAGGCCAAAGGCACTCCCTTTCTGGAACAGGAAGGGCTATACTCAAAGGTCAGAGGCAATGGAGGAAACAGGCGATCTTGCC